ATCTCCATTCAGAAAACATTTTAAAAGTTTTTTCGCCTGCCGTTTGTCTGCAGACTTGTCAAAGCATTAATTCATGGTTTTTACTAACCGGTATCAGTATGTTGTTACGTCGGCATCATTTTGAAACGTGTTACAATTAAATCACGGTCAAATATGTTCATTTTGTTGTAGTTGTAGCCCCCTTGCCAGCGATTCTCTCACTAGTTTAGCATACTCAGCCTGGTTGTTGGCCCGGAAAGAACCATGTTTTTGGAGAGCCAGAAAACTGTGAAAAAGTACCCGTTAGCCGGAACTACCCCTCGTGGAAACTAGGGATATCGAAAATCGGACAGCCCTGGGGAATAATAATTGATTATTCGACACCCCTTCTCCCCCTGCCGGTTATACCACAAGGTGAGTTCCTTTTTACTTCCTGCTTCTTCACACACATGCTCTCCAGTACAGGTTAGCTCTGAGTGTTAGCGATGCTAATGTAAACACCGACCATATTACGTCCAAAACAGTCGGGCATTGTTTCTGATAGCAACGTTTCTGATTGGGCCGTGGGTCCACATTTCAGATATTACGTCATATCGGACGCAAATCTGGATCAGCTCCGTTGTTCCCCGTTTTTAGAGATTTGGGTACGGAGGAAAAGAGAGAGGGTTTTATTTTCTGACGCTGCGTGAGTTCGACGACACACCGGGGACTAGTGTTGTCACGATACCAACATTTTGGTTTCGATACCGATACCAAGTCAAGAATTGCGATTCCGATTCTTTTTCGATACTTTTCTTAAAAAAAGGGAAACAGTCTTAAATGTAATTATTGTGCTTTATTTCACACCAGAACCATAACACAAACTTTTAAACAATGAGAACAATAAACAAAATAAATGACAAGAATTCGTATTAAATAAAATTAAGCATCATCTCAAACAACTTTTTTGTTTTATAAAATATAATTTTTTTTATATTTTATTAACATGTACAGTAATATAAATAATTATTGACAAAATGTATATTGCAGATGTTAGCCACATTGGTAAGTTAGCTAAAAAGATAGCCATATTAGACCCTCCAGAAAAACGCGATTCTGCGATCACAGAATTTACCGCATAATCAGCAAAATGGCGCAGATTTTTTAAAAGGCCGCATATTTATCAAAAGGCCGCATATTTATCAAAAGGCCGCATAATCCCCGCATTTTTCCACACAAAGTTGAGAAGAAAAAAAAGTTAACTCGTCTTGACGTGAAGTGATGATGATGATGACGGGACGTCATCAGCTCGTGCATCACAGAAGGTAAACAACAGCGTAGAGTGAACGTGTGGAGCTCACACGAGAGAGAAAACACCAAGATGAAAAAATCTAATCCATCTCATTTACCGACGAACATTTCTGCTAAAGACCGGGCAAAGCAGTTCCCCGATGTCTTGCACGAAAGTGGGGGGAAACTATTCTGCACCCCGTGCAACTGTGTGTTGGAGCATAAGAGAACATCGACGGTGACGACCCACTTTGATTCATTCAAACATTCGAACATGCTTTCTGCTGCTGCGGACAAGAAAGCCAAACAACTCACGTTCACCGAGGCATCGACCTCCAAAACCCTTTCGAGGGCTACAAGAAACGAGGTGAGAAGCCTACAAGATTGAAGCTGGTCAGATAACGAACATGAAATGAAATGAAAACAGAATGAGGCGGAGAAGTGTGTGTGTGTGTGTGTGTGCGTGAGAGAGAGAGAAGAGAGAGAGAGAGGAGAGAGAGAGAGAGAGAGAGAGAGAGAGAGAGAGAGAGAGAGAGAGAGAGAGAGTGTGATTAAAATAGCCCAATTGCTTTTACAATAAATAAACATTGAATGTGTTTAATTGTATAGTAAAGGGGTTTAACGTTAGTGGCAGGTTGTGTGTGAGAGAGAATAAATAAATAAGACATCCCAATATTTATTTTTTCCGCATATTTCGCAACTTTCCGCATAATTCACGGCATAAAATCACATAAAACCCCGCATGTTTGATCGCATAATCAAGGATTTTTGCCCGCGTTTTTCTGGAGGGTCTAATTAATTGCCTCGTCAAACTACGAAAACGTTCGTTTGCCACAAAATAAATGATACTTGTTTGACTTAGATGTGAGGGCATGGGCTTGAGCATGATGTAATTATGTTATCTATCACATTCGCTAACCTGTCTGTCTTTAAATTCTTTAAACAGCTCTGGATGCCAGTCGGTGAGGTGCTTAGCCAAGTCTGATGTGTTGGCTCCCTTGGTTTGCAGGGATCTAAAACATTTCTCACAGACAGGCCTCGTGGTGTCCGTAGGCTTGCCCTCACTGTCAGAGATATCGCTCAAATACTTCCAAATTTCGCTTCTGGCGTCTTTTTTGTCAACAAGCCGAGGCGCAGCGGCAGTTGCACTCCCACTTGCAGCCATGCTTCTCGTTTTCTCAAATGCTCTGGCAGGCCAGCTAGTGCGTGGAGTACTTTTCCCCGTCATTCTTAAAGTACCGATACTAATGAAACGGAGGAATCGTACCGTTTTTAACGGCAGGGTATCGCGGTACCTTTCAAGTATCGGTACACCGTGCAACACTACCGGGGACACACATTTATGTATAAAAGACATCAAAACGTGCATTTTGCATGATAGGTCCCTTAAGTAACCTCCATACTTTTACTGTATGAAGTCTGTTGAAGTTAACTCTCTAAACCTCCACCTGGAACACCCTAGCCTCATCCCAATACCCCTCCTCGACTCCTCTCTTCCCCTCCTCCGGGACTTGACCCGGAAATCGATCAAGACACGCCATTTTGAAGGACGTCCCAATAGCTGAAAGGCACACGGAGGAGTGGAGGAGGGGTGAGGGAGGAGGGGTGCGGGAGGAGACGAAAGGGAGGATACACGCGAGCAGACTACGCGGAAGTGTTTTCACTACTCGCGTATAAAAGCCCCGCCCCCACCTTCACAGCTGGTCGATTTCAACAGAGGAAAACGGAGAACTGGAAGATGAGTGGGAAAGCGTTCACAGCTCCGTGAGAATTATTATGTGCAATTAATTTCTAAAAGGCTTTCACATTACTATAATTATATTTTTATTTAAATCTAGGCTACATTTTACACCAAAACGGAACACAAAAGCAGGACCAACCATCATACATTGAATTCCTTGATTAACAAGAGAAAGATTCATTCATTTAAATAAATATTTAACAATGAATGGGCCGGTTCTAAAGGGTTATTCAGTTAAGCCCGATGAGAGGGGATACAGCTGTGCACATGTCATCATTAACAGACGTCGTTTAAAAGTGACGTTTGAGTGAACGAGGACATCCCAATTAATACCTGAGGACTCCTCCGTCCTCGCGTCACCTCCTCGTGTCTCTCGCTCGCATCTTACGGAGGCGGAGCTAAGACGCAAGGAAGGGAAGCGAGTGAGGGAAAGGAGGAGTCGAGGAGGGGTATTGGGATGAGGCTACTGTATTTCTTAATCTAAGACACCATGTGTTCCGCACAATTCCCAAAAAAAACCTGATTCCTGTTTTAACCTTTTGCAGTTCTCACGATGCCGTGCAGACCTATAGTCACTGTTTCCTGAATGCATGTTTAAATATGGATGTGTGTGTGAGTGTGTGTTTTAGCGTCCTAAATATAAGCTTGTCACATTGTCCAGAGTAGCGCTTGTGGACAGCTCAGCTGAAGCAGAGAAATGGTTTTAAGTGCTGCTGCTGCTGCTCACTCAGACCCCCGATAACACAACAAAACCAACACTGATAGTTTCGAGAGTCACTACAAACATTACGTCATGCAATGTAATTACAATATTTAAAAACAAAACTCTCAATGCCTTAATGTTCTAAAACTGTTTCACAGGACACTAAAACTCTCCATCAGCTATAGCACATTAATAGTCAACATGAATGAATGTATATACAGTATGTGTTTATTGACTGTTATATGTATGACGCTTCTCGTTCATGAGTTTTCATTCCTGTCATTTTGCTCTTGGACCGCCTTGATAATATGTACTGTTAATATTTGATCCTTTGCTCCCGTAGGCATGTCTATGGTAAAGACTGTATGTAAGTCGCTTTGGATAAAAGTGTCAGAACAATAATGTAACAATGTAATAACAACACCGTGCACAACAATTCTCAAGTGAGATAAAAAGTGCAAGAAATAAAAAATGATTTAATTAAAAGAGGATTTGAATATAATCTTAAATCCTAATTATGATCATCAGTAATAATAACATTGAACTCACCAAGTTAATATCTTGAATTAAGCGATGAATTTAAGAACAATATTGTTATTACTGATAGAAATAAAGTGCAAAACTTCAAGACTAATATCAGAGTTGTTGATGATCCATCTTTAAATGTTCCAGATGTGGCTGTATATAGTTGGGGAGAGGAAACGAGCCTTTCAATATGACAGATGTGTTCTCTGTTGTAGAGCCAGAGGGTGAAAACAGACGCTGTGAAGGACTCCGTTTCTTCAACATGCCCTTTAAAGTGCCATATTTTGACTGATGTGACCCCCCCTCAAACACACACACACACACACACACACACACCATCAGCAGGATCTGTCTGGACCCCTGTGGTGAGACAACACTGCTAACACACTTCCTAAAGAGTTCAGTGTGCCCAAAGCTCACACACACACACACACACCATCAGCAGCAGGATCCGTGCTGCGATCACACACACACTCGTGCTTCAGTGTGCACGTGTTGAAGTGTGTAACTGTCAATCTGTGATGGCTGTGTGTAGACAGGTATCTCCGCCTGTTAATGTCTGAGTCCGAGACTAAAAGTGTGGTTTTTTTCTGTCTCTGTGTCAGTTTGCATGTGTCTATCTGCATCTCCCTCTGTCACTGTGTTTGGTTATAATGTGTGTGTGTGTGTGTGTGTGTGTGTGTGTGTGTGTGTGTGTGTGTGTGTGTGTGTGTGTGTGTGTGTGTGTGTGTGTGTGTGTGTGTGTGTGTGTGTGTGTGTGTGTGTGTGTGTGTGTTTGCTCACCCATGCTGTTGGTGGAGCTGCACCACATCAGCAGACAGCCAGTACACAGCAGGTTGAGAACCCCGAACAGCAGGATCCTCCACGACTGCAAAACGACAACAAGCAAACAAACAAACACAATGTTAAAAGAGGACAACGAAGAAGAAGAAGAAGAAGAAAAAGAAGACAACAAAAAACAAGATAACAAAGAACAAGAAGATAGTTTGACAAATTGATTGTTTTGGTCATTTTTAAACCAAAAAGTAGTGAAACAATTCTAAAATACTTTGATCCTCCAAGAGGATTTCCTGCTTTTCTTCGTCATACATTATTGTAAACTTTTACTAATAATATTTGTGGGTATCTGTACATACGATAAAACAAAACAGGACATGTGAGGAGGTCACGTTTGGCTCTGTGACGTTCTGATGCCGATAATGAAAATATAATTAATTGCACCACTAGTCCCCAGTATGGGCCAAGCTCCAAAAACACTGGATCCTACACTTCCCATAATGCATCTCAACAGCATCTTTACTTTGACCCGTATTTAAACTGCAGTGTGTAATGCTGTTAAATTTGTCCACCAGTCCAAACATAGCGGGACACACTGGCAGGAGACCAGCCGCCTCTAATCTCAATCTGAATCTAAACCTACAAATAGAGCAGAGCTGCGGAGAGTTTCCTGCCCTGTGGCCGACCTACTGTGCCGAGGGGGGGTGAATACTCTGACTGATGGAGTCACTACAGTCTGAATCAGTTCCTCACAGAAACACCAGCTCAGGGGAAGGTCACCACCAGAGGAGCACAACAGGCTGATCCAGGAACTGAAAACACTGACGAGTAAAGAGCGTACCGTTAAATCCTTCCCATGGTCTTTTGTGCAAATGTATAAGAAGATATAAACAAACATTTCCCATATTGGGATCAATAAAGTACCTATCTAACTAACTAACTATCCATCTATCTATCTATCTATATATATATATATATATATCTCCATCTATCTATCCAGCTATCTAACTAACTATCTCTCTCTCTATCTAACTATCTATCTATCCATCCATCCATCTATCTAACTATCCATCCATCCATCCATCCATCTATCTAACTATCTATCCATCCATCTATCTATCCATCCATCCATCTATCTATCTATCTATCCATCCATCCATCCATCCATCTATCTATCCATCCATCCATCCATCCATCCATCTATCTAACTATCTATCTATCTATACATCTATCCATCTATCCATCCATCCATCTATCTATCTATCCATCCATCCATCTATCTATCCATCCATCCATCCATCCATCTATCTATCCATCCATCCATCCATCCATCCATCTATCTAACTATCTATCTATCTATCTATCTATCTATCCATCCATCCATCCATCCATCCATCTATCTAACTATCTATCTATCTATACATCTATCCATCCATCCATCCATCTATCTATCTATCTATCTATCTATCTATCTATCTATCTATCTATCTATCTATCTATACATCCATCCATCTATCCATCCATCCATCTATCTATCTATTAGGGGTGTAACGGTATACGTACCCGTACCGAAATAATTCGGTACGGGCCCTTTGGTTCGGTACAGGTGTGTACCGAAGTGTACCGAACGAATATAACGTTAAACGTAAAAAATTGAGAACGTGAACAACTTGTTGGAAGTAATCTCAGGTGCTGCGTCGCAGCATTCAGAGTAATTTGCTCACATTGGGTTCAACGCGTCATAGAGCGAGCAAGTCATTTCATTGGATGAGAGGCATACTATGAGAGCTGGTCAGAGGGATGCGTTCAAATGTAGTCAGTAATTTGAGGAACTGTCGAAAATTAATGGCGAACGCAGATAAAGTTGAGCTCGAAAATCCTCCAGCATCATTGAGGTCTCCGGTCTGGGAACATTTTGGTTTCGCAGTTACGTACAAGGATGACGGACAAAGACAGGTGGACCGAACCAAAGCTGTTTGTCGGCATTGTTCAACTAATATTGGTTACGCGGCTGGCAATACATCAAACTTGCACACTCTTGAAAAGGCATCACCCGAACGTGAATATCACCGGTACCAAAAGAAAAAAGACTGAAGTGCAAACCCAACTCCCACTAGCATGTAAGCCTCCACCACTCGCAGAGAGTTCAGACCGAGCCAAAGCTATTACAAACACCAAATATCCTTATGTTGCCATGTTAGCAAAGCGCTACCTGGCTGTACCTGCTACCTCTGTCCCTAGAGAGGGTGTTCTCCACAGCAGGAGACATTGTTAGTGCCAGCAGATCTGCCCTTTCGGCAAGCAATGTGGACAAGTTAATTTTTCTTTAAAAAAACATAAAAATACAATGACAAGCAAGTCCTAATGTCAAACTGGCTGCTTAGGTGCTAGTACAGTACAGTTCAAATACAGATTATTTCAGTTCATCGAAAAGCTGCACCTTAATGTTTATTTTATTTTATTTTGTATTTTTTTGAGTGAAGATTCACAGTTTAATAAAAAATAAAAAACCCAAAACTAATAGTTTATGTTTTGTGAGTACTAGTAGCCTACAGTAAAGTTCAAATACAGATTATTTCAGTTCATCGAAATGCTGCACCTTAATATTTATTTTATTATATTTTGTATTTATTTGAGTGAATACATTATTCACAGTTTAATAATAATTAAAAAAAATATATATATATATGTTTTGTTTTGGGGAAAAAAAATTCTGCTGTACCGAAAACGTACCGAACCGAACCGTGACCAAAAAACCGAGGTACGTACCGAACCGAAATGTTTGTGAACCGTTACACCCCTACTATCTATCCATCTATCTATCTATCTATACATCCATCCATCCATCCATCCATCCATCTATCCATCTATCTATACATCTATCCATCCATCCATCCATCCATCCATCTATCTATCTATCTATCTATCTATCCATCCATCTATCTATCTATGAAGCTTTGACATTTCTAACTATTCCGGCAGCCCTAGTTAAGGTTTGGAGAAGATGCAGCCGTGGTTAAAAGAAACCATCATTGACTGTTGGTAGGAAACAGGAAGTGAACTGTGGTCTCGGTCCACCACAAACACCTTCCTGAGAGGCTTTGTGGAACACTAGATCAAGGTCTCTTTACTTCCTCTATTGCTTCTAAAAGACAGCAGTCCTCACACACAACAACCACACGTTTAAATGTAGGTGTATAAATATAGGTTGTCTGAGAGATTGGACAAAGGACCAATAAGAGACAACCAAAATGACTTTAATTATTCTCCATTCAATCTGTATGTAAGCCCATTCAATGCTGTTCTCACTTCCTCCGCCTGGATGTCAATTCAGCAACATTTTGAATGAACAACATTTAAAAAGACTTGAGTCTAAACTCGCCCTCTGAGCAAAAAGAGTGCGGTTGTGTGTCAGATGGACGACGCGTACCAAGAAATGGAACAAGGGATCGTGTGTGCGTGTGTGTGTGTCCTGGCCTGTCACTTCGTGTTGGAGTCATAAGCCGTGGTGGGGAGCGCCGAGTGCTGTGAAATCTACAATTACTGTGGTGTGCTGTGTTATGACAGCGCTTGGGCGTCTGGTGACAGCACTAGCCAACGACAGGCATGGGAGACCCTGTGTGTGTGTGTGTGTGTGTGTGTGTGTGTGTGTGTGTGTGTGTGTGTGTGTGTGTGTGTGTGTGTGTGTGTGTCCGTGTGTGTGTCCGTGTGTGTGTCCGTGTGTGTGTCCGTGTGTGTGTCCGTGTGTGTGTCCGTGTGTGCAAACAGAGAGACAGCATTGGCCCAAAACATGCCCAACCCCCCCTGCACGTACACAGACACTCGTCGCCTGGAGGGGAGAGTCAGTGTTTTTAAACCCCGGCGCTGTGCTGCCCCCGTCCGTCCGTCTGCGGCGGCGCCCGGCTGTCCCGCGGCAGAACGGCGTGCCAACATGTCAAAGTTACATGTGACATTGGAGTGACAGAGCGGCAGCGCCTCAGTCACCAGGTACTGTACTGTAAATAAGGAGCCAGGCCGGATTACATCATAGTGGAGCGCCGTGCCACGCGGCCGCATCATTTGGCAGCGCCAGAGAAATGTGTGTCACGGTGGTGAGCAGAGGCGTGACTCATGTGAAAAGTGGAGCAAGAAGGAGAGGTCAGTTTTTTCATAACAGGCTGGGGTTGTGTTTAACAGTCTTTGTCTTTTAGGAAGGTTCGTAACGGAGTAAAATAAACCGGAAGTAGTGGGTCAGCCATGATAAGAGCTGTTCGGATCGCTATATGATAAGGAAAGGAGCTGTAATGCTTCCTTTGTTATCACATTTTGCATAGGGTAAACCGGAGCATCCTTCACAAGAAGAAAGGAGATAATTATGTCCCACAATTCCTTGCAGCCGACAAACACAGATCATGTAATTAAGGCTGCCTAATAAATATTGTATCACTTATGCCGTAAGCCGCTGATGTGCTTATATGTTGGGAACAATATGTTAAAGCAAAAAGCGTTAAGCTAATTAGTATAAGATGATCAAATTGTCCCATATATAGCCCACATGAAACAACACGATAAGAGCCACATGGCAAAGTATCTACGGTTTTTAGTAGTTCATCTCGAGAAATGTTCCCACAGCAGACTGACATCAATAACATCCACTGGTGCATCGTAAATAAATGGCCCTGTGTAACTGCAGTCAGGTTCCCATATCCTGATAAATTGTCCTATAAAAACACATAGAAGCTCTAGGTGCAGGGGGGGGGGTTTGCCCAAAGTGAATCCTGCACGTCTCTCTTTTCAGTTCCAAAAAAACACAAAAACACCCTCCTCAGTTTGTAGTCTGTGTCTCCAGGGTGGTGGCGTTGCCTTCTCAAAATAAACCCACTTGCATAATGAATCGGCGGCCTGTTCACGCGGACAGAGGAGTTTTCCGACTGCTGCATCAAGACGAGATGACGCCTCTCACTCACTCTGCCCCGCGGACATGTCTTTCCTCTGCTGCTTCATCAGAACATTTTGTTACTGTGGCCGATGAGCTCAAGCACAAATGCCCACTACTATAAACACGTGCTATGACAGCCATGCTGAATGAAGCACATTGTGATTCTCAGTGCT